AATGTGTCTTGAAGGGCCTTCCAAAGATCAGGAAGAACTTTAGCACACCCTTTACTGTGCCCAATGAAGCGTTGTAATTAACAGTAAGTGGTCAGGGTAAAGGGGAGCGATCGGGGGACTTTTCGGGAAATCTTACCACACACTCAATATGTATGAGGGAGCTATGTAATTCTTTTATAGTAGTATATCGGGGAGTCAGAGGGGGGTAATTTCCCAGCAAGGCTATCACAATCCCGGAGCGAATAGCAGGCAGCCTTGCCAACATGCTAAGTGACCCAAGCTTGTTCCAAGGTTAGGGGGCGTACAGTCGCGGCCTTGCCAACTCACTAAACCGACCGGAAGCGATGCTCAAAGGTCAAGGGACTCAGACAGGTCCTGGAGCCCCACCAGGTTGGACTCCTCCATTATGGCATGACCATTCTTCCTGAGGGGAGATTTCTTACTTTCCATTTCTCTGTCTCTCTGTGTCTCTCTCGTGAGCACGTACTTACCAGCAAAAATCTATCAAAAAAAGGAAAAGATTATCTTATAATATTAATGGAGATCACCTTCAAATTCTATTTATCTAAGCAAAGGTAAACTGGTTTTGCACATTCTTTTCCTTCCTCCCCATTAACCCCACCTCCTTTTTCTGCCTTTTGTCTTTCATATTTTCCAATGAATAAAAGCTCTACTCAATAGATTATTTTTTTAAAGAATTATTTATTTTATTTATTATTTTTAAATTTTGCTATAGAGTATGTATGTTCACCAGAGAAAGACAGAGAAAGGGAGGGAAAATGAGAAAGCAAGGTGCCAGGCCCAGAACCCAAACCACAGTGGACCATGTGGGAGTCCAGCACCTTAACCATCACACCACCTACTGGCCCCAACAGATTCTTCTCTTTAAATAACCAGGGTGTCCCCATTTCTAAGTCAGAATTTAAATTTTAAACAATGCAATCTTCATTACATAAAAATACCTGTGTGTAAGAACCTTTTTTTTTTTTATAAACAGACTACTCCTGCCAACTACGCAGCTGACATGCACTCATGCCCAGGTACAGCCACTTCCTCTGCAGAAGACACTTAATCTTCCATTTAGGCCTCAATTGCTCAAGTAGCACCTCTTTCCTCAACACCCACCTGGTGCCTGGTGTTCTTAGACATATATGTTAATTTTGTGTTAAAAAATAACTCAAATGTGATACCTTTTTATGTTACAGGCATGATGGGGACAAAAAAAGTAATAAAGACATGTACCAAAAAAGAAGAAAAATGAATGAAGTTAAAGAAATCCAGTACATTTTTAATTTTTGAAGACCCATGATCTTTGTAGCTTTCTTAAAATATATTTAACCTATTTTACATCTATTACCTCTCTCTCCCAGTACTCTGCACTGGCTCAATATGCTACTGTTGTTCAATATGTGTTAATTATAGTACTTGCAGTGGTTCTCTGTAATGGAAAATTCTACCATTATCTTTGTTATCTGCTTTCCCAGATTTCCCCTCAGCTGCAGGACATGAAGTAACAAGAATAGGAGTGGTTGGAACCGGCTCCTACACACTTTCACATGAACTTATAGTATGTCACACTACCCATGGGCTGATTGTATTCGAGCTTGAGGAGCCAATACGTACAAATTTATTATAGGGAAAAAATAACGTCAATCATTTGGATTTCAGTATACAGTAATAACCAAATTATTGCTGCAACAGAGAATGTACTCGGAGGCCCAGTCGCAGTGGCATAAGCAGTTGAGGGGATTGCTTTGAGATGCTAGGGTCATAGAGGAAGGCTCCGGGTTAGTGTCCCAGTCTGCCTCAATATACCAGGCATGCCAGTGATCCTGGGAGACTTTCTCTCTCTCTCTTTCTCTCTCTCAATAAATAAAAACAAAAACAAAAAAAGGACATGCTCTGATTAAAACATAAAGGAAAAATATAAATTAGGTAGAAGAAGAGAGAAGGGGAGAAGAAAACACTCCTGTTTCTGCCCCCACAATGCATGGCCAACACCATAGTCCCTTCTCCTCCATCTCTCCTTCCTTTGGAAATTTGGGCATTCATGCAAATGTGCCCAATGTGTTTCTCAAGCTATGAAATTTGGGACTCAAACTATGTGGGTGGTTACATGGGATCTGACTACCCTAACCACCAGGTCATGGTGCAGGCCCAAGGGATGGATATCTTTAAGCAAAATTCAAACACCTTGAGGAAGTAAAGTATACAGTGTATTTTGCATCTTCAAAGAAGTCCAACATGGCTGCCACATAAAGAATGAAAGTAATAGCAATTATTGTTTTTCTAGCTAATACTCACTGAGCATGTATTCAATAAAAACAATGCATTTTAGGGGCCAGCAGGTGGCATGGTGGTTAATGGCGCTGGACTCCCACATGGCCGACTATGGTTCCAGTCCCAGACCTGGCAGTTTGCTCTCTCACTTTCCCTCTCTCTCTCTCTCATTCTGTTCCTATCTGGTCAAATTTAAATAAATAAATAAAGCTAAATATAATAATTCTTTAAAAAAATATATTAAAAATAAATAAATAGATAAATAAAATGTGGTATATCCACACAACAGAATATTATTGACTCATAAAAAGGAATGAAGTAGTATTACATGCTATGACATGGATGGCCCTTGAAAATATTAAGCTAAATGAAAGAAGCCAGACAAAGGTTCATACTGTATGAATCCATTTATATGAAATGTAAAGACAAAGCCACAGAAACAGAAACTAGATCAGTGGTGGCCAGGGACTGGGGAGGGCAGTTGGGAATAACTTTCAATAGGTACAGAGTGTCTTTAAGATGTTATGAAAATGTTCTGAAAATAGTGTTAACAGCTGAAAAATGTATTGAATATGCCAAAACCACTGAGTTTTAGACTTTATAATGGTAAATTTTTCATGTGAATAATACCTCAATTTTTAAAACTTTAAACAATAATATATACCATTATTTAATTTCTGTTTATTGTCTAACTTGCTCTTCTACAATGTAAGCTCCTTAAAGGCAGAAATTTTTGTTCTTTTATCTCCAGAAGATAAGATGGTGCCTGGCACTTTTTTAGGCCCTCTCAAATATTATTAAATTTTATATGATTTATATTTTACCATAATAAAAAAAATTGGATGAGAGACTGAATTTTAGCAACCCCTAATGGGGGCATGGTCATGCCACAATCCCTTCTCCATTTTTCCATCTTGCCATGATTTGGGACACATATGCATACATACCCAGTGTGGTTTTTTTTTTTTTTTTTTGCTTGCTTGTTTCTTTTAGGGGTTTTTGCCTTAGGGTGCGTGCATTCACCAGAGAGACAGAGACAATGAGAGGGAAAATGAGAAATCACTCTCCAGGGGAGATGGCCACACCACAATTGCTTCTCCTCCATTCTCCTTCTGAGATCTTGGGCATACATGCACACACACCCAGCATGAGTTTCAAGCTACTGGGTCAGGAATCAAACCATGGTCGGCTATGTGGGGGTCCAGCAACGTAAGTATTATGCCATTCGCGGGCCATCTCCATAGTGTTTTAGAGCCACTGGAACAGGACTCAAATTGCCATCAGCCATATGGGATCCAGCTCCTGTAACCATTAGGCTACCAGCCAGTCCGGGACCCTTCTGCTCTCACAGATTGCTTTACTCACACTTGCCTGTGCACATTGCTCACTCATTTCCTCCTGCTCAAATTCTACATTTCAACTTAAGTTTTCTCTTCTTCTAATAAAGCCTTCATGGTAGAGCTGGCCCTTTCCTCCTTTAGGTTCAGACAGGTCTCTGGGCATGTCTGCCACACAGCCATCACTCTGCAATGCGACTGTCTCTACTGTCTGCACAGTTGAGTTCCTTGAGAGCAGTGATTAAGGCTGTTCATTTCTATTTCACAGTCCCTATATCATAGCAATCACTCACGCAGGCTACTCTTCTCACCCCAGCGGTGCTACGCTATTTAAATATACCATCTGGGTATCCTAATGAGGTCCTTGTTCATAGCAGGAAGACTGCCTTCTGCTCTGCCTGTCCCTTCTGAGTCCCTCCTATGCACCAGGCACTGTCATAAGCCTTACGGAGATGCTCGGGACCTGATACCCACACCTGAGTAGCTCACAGTCCAATAAAGGGAACAGACACAAAACCTCTAACCATTATAAAGTGTGGCACTATGCTAGAGGGAAGAAAGGACAATTAATTCTGCCTGGAAGAGAGGGTTGGGAGATAAAGGATGTGGATAGAAAAGAAAGGTTATCTGGAGCTGGCCTGGAAAAGCAAGCCGAAGTTCATCTGGCATGCAGGGGAAGATGGCATTCCCAGCAAAGGGAAGAGAGCAGACATCTAAAGAGAGGAAAACACAGTCTATCTGGTGAATGAGAGGTCACATGGAACAGATTATGAAGAGCTCACGGGGACAGAGAAGGTTGCAAAGAAAGACTGAGGCTGTTTGTGCTGGGCCTTCAATGCCACAGTGAGGAATATGGATTTTGGCTAATAGTCAACACAAGATCTTGGAAAGGCTTTTTATCAAAAGAGTGACAAGAACAGATCTAAGTTTCAGAAAAATTACTTAAAAAAAAAAAAAGGCAGTGGAGTGAGGAAAACCAATCGGAGTCAAATCAGGTGTGCTATAACAGTACAAAGAAGAGATGACAAAGGCAGTGGGGACAGAGAGAACGGCACTGGAAGCTCCTCAAGGAGGAGCTTTTTTGTGAGTGTCTTCTAGACCGGTGCAGTCCTCGAGGACTGATGCCCCAGGAAGCCCAGGAGGGTGGCACTGACCCCGGTGGCCTCGTGTGCTCTTCACCACGACCGGGTAGCCCAGGGGCTCAGCTTCATCAATCATCTTTGAAAAGTCTTCATGCCCACCTGCCAAGAAAAAGAGAAAGTCAGTGAAGGTAAGGCTGATGGCCAGGCAGGGGTGACCCCAGCACTGCCCCTTCTGTGGGAATTCTCGCGAGGCTTCATGTCTCAATTCAAACCCCTTCAATCCAACAGATGCGCATCACGTGCCTGTAGTGTGAAAAGTGGAGCTGAAAGGTAAGGAGACCAGCATTTATCAAGTACCTTCTACGTAGCAAAGGCTTCAGATGCTCTCATCCACGTAAGCCTCCTAACAGTCGTATAGGCAGAAGGGATTGCAGTGGGGCCATCCCTCCAGAGGCGTGATTTCTCACTTTCCCTTTACAATGGCTGTGGTAGGCAGGATTCTGAGATGGCTCCCAAGATTCCTGCCCCTTGATTTATACACCCTGTATAATCCCCTCTCTGGCATGGGGGGTTGGGAGAGCAATGAATATGATGGGATCATTTAAAAGAGATGGTCTTTGGTGGGCCTAACCTAATCAGGTGAGCCCTTTAAAAAAGGTGAGGCATCAGGAAGACCCTTCTGGTGGCCTTGGAAGGACCAAACCGCTATCTTGTGGAAAAGGTCACGTGGCAAGAAATGGAGAGCAACCTCTAGGTAAGCTAAGAACAAGCCCCTATTGATGGCTGGCAAGGAAATGGGGACCCCAGTCCTACAACTGCGGAGAACCAAATGCCACCAACCTGTCAGCTTGGAAGACGACCCTGAACCTCAGAGGAAGCCATGGCTGCAGCCAACACCTTGATTTCAGCCTTGTGAGACCCAAGTGGAAACCCTGTTATTCTGTGCCTGGACTTTTATGTACGCAGACTATGTGAAAATATATGGGTATCATTTTAAGTTGCTCAGGTATTTATTTGTTTGTTTGTTTGTTTAAGGTTTTTGCCATAGGGTGCATACACTCACCAGAGGGAGAGAGACACAGAGAGGGAAAGTGAGAAATCACCCTGGGGGATGGCCATGTTGCAATCTCTTCTCCACTCTCTTCCTAGGATTTTCAGCATGCACACATGAATGCACATGCGCCTGGAATGACCTTCAAGCCTCTAGATAAGGGACTTGAACTGTAATCAACCATAGGGGAGTCCAGTGCCTTAACCACCATGCCACCTGCTGACCCCAAGTTGCTCAAGTTTCAGTACTTAGTTACGTGATAATAGAAAATCAATGGCCAAAGAAAGCCTGGTGATTTGTCTCAACCAAAGTTATGATATGACTACTCTAAAGTCTGAATGGGTTTTACTATACCCTTTAAATCTTAATTTTCATGCAGTTGTTTTTTGTTGTTGTTGTTTGTTTGTTTCCTCAAAGGCAAGTCACTTACCAGAGAGAGAGAGAAAAAGGAGAAATCATGCTCGCATGCCCCCATGGGTAATGTTAATTCTGCAATCTCTTCTCTATTTCTCTCTCCTCTCCAAATTTTGGGTTTACATGTACATGCACCCTGAGTATTTGTCAAATCTCTGGGGCCAGGATGAGACTTGTGTAGTCAGTCATGCAAGATCTGGCTGTATTAGCCACCAAGCCACAGAATTAGCCCTAAGCCTTAATTTTAAAAATATGAATAATGTACATAAAAATATTTTCAAATTGTTTTACAAACATCCTTGATTTCCTGTACATACTTAGACCAATGTCTAAGTATGTAGCATAACATTTTCTTAATAACTTAGAAGCAATGTCATGCATGAACATTTAATGACTTTACCATAACACTTTTAGGGACGACACATACTCTATTCATGGCACGAAACTAGAGCATTTTATGGCTTTGAGACCTGATTTTTATGGTTTCCTACATTTCTTGCAATCAGGATGCCAACTATACTTCTTACCACTCAGTAAGAAGTAGCTTCTCTTCCCACTTCTCTTTGCTATGGGCTTAAAAGGACAAATAACTTCCAGGATGATTTTTCCAGCAAAGTAAACGCTAGGTTCTGGATAAGCATGCTGGAGTTTAAGTTGCTAAGAAGTTTTTTGGTTTACTGCCCAGCTGCCTCAAGTGTGTGACAGATGCATTTTGTAGGTACAGTGCTGTTTTCTATTGCTGCTGTAACTGTCAACTTGGTGGTTGACTGTTAAACAACATAGATCTATGTGTGGACTTCTGTAAGTTCATGGAAAAATGGAATTGAAGTGTAAGTTGATTTTAGTATCCCTCCCATATTGAAATCCATGCATAATTTTTTTCCGTAATACAAATGTTCTGCAAACTTTTTGAAAACCCTATGTATTGTCTTCCAGTTCTGTAGTTTGGAATCCAACACAGGTCTCACTGGGCGAACATCGAGGTGTGAGCTGGCTGCATTCTCTTCTGGAGGCTCCAGAGGAAAATCCATTTCCTTGCCTTTCCCAGCACCTAGGGGCTGCCTACAGCCCTTGCTGAAATCATCTCTCCCCCGCAGCCGCTCACTCCTCACCCACCAATCTGCTTCTTCCCTTCCATGTTTCTAGGCTCAGTGAATGTTTTGCATCTGGTTCCAAATTAGAAACCAAAGTCCCTCTTGACTCCTCTCCCTACTACCCATATCCAATCAGTCATAGTCTATGATTTCTTTTTCTTTCTTTTTTCTTAAATTTGCCAGAGGATATATGCATTCAATTAGAGGGAGACAGGGAAAGTGAGAAGGTATCCCTTCTCCTCCATCTCTCCCTCCTTTCAGGATTCTGGACATGCACGCATATGCGCCCAGCATATTTTTCAAGTCTCTGGGCCGAGGACTCAAACTGTTGGCCGTGTGGGATCTGACCATCTTAACCACCAGCAGCTGGCCCATGTCCTATTACTTCTCTGTTCTTCACAATCCCTAAATTTGTTCACTTGTCTTTATTCTCACTTGGATTGTCTAAGGCACCTACTACTACTTATCCTGCTCTACCCTTCCCCCCTCCAGTTCCTTCTTCACACTGTAATCACAGTGACCCCCTGATCTACATACAACTTTGATCAGGCCTCTTTCCTGAGTACAGCCCTCTGCTGACCTCCTGTGGGTCTCAGGACTAACCTTTCCTTCATATGCTGTTTATGGCTCCTTATTATCTTTCCAGACTCATCTCTCAACAATGTCTCCCTTAACATTCTGCAACTCACTCACAATACCACAAATATGAAGGAACTTCAAAACTTCATGGAAGGCCAGCCCTGCAGCCAGATCTCTTATGGCTGACTGTGGTCTTAATCCCACCCCCAGTAGCTTGAAAAACATGACAGGTATGTGGTTGTATGTGCCCCAAATCCTGATGAATGAGAAATGAAAGGGTCTCTGGTGAGCACATATGCCCTCTGGCAATAAATTTTTTAAAAGGCTCATGGAATTGGGACCAGCATTTAGCGTAATGGCTATGTCGCTGGACTTCCATGTAGTCGACCGTGGTTTGAGTCCTGGACCCGGTGGCTTAGACTCATGCCAAGCACATGTGCGTGCCCAAGATCCCAAGAGGAGAATGGAGGAGAGGGGATTGCGGCGTGGCCATCCCCCCTGGGGGGTGATTTCTCGCTTTCTGTTTCTCTGTCTCTCTCTGTCTGTCTGGTGAGCGCACACACCCTATAGCAAAAACCTCTCCAAAAAAAAAGCTCATGGAATTAAAGTATGAGTTTATTTTCATGCAAAGAAAACCTTGAAATCCATGCATAGGCTTTTCATTCTTTCCTATAAACTTTTAGAAGACTCCCTGGAGGTCATGTTCTCTCTTACCTTATGGTCTGTCTATAATCTGCTCTCTGCTTAAACTTGGCTCTCAACCTTCTTATTAGCTGGACAACCTCAGCTTAGTTTAGGTGTTGTGATTTTTAGGAAGCCTTCCCCAATGTCTTCTAAACTGCAGCAGGAGCTCCCTGATATAGTCTTACATCACCATGCACTAACTGATCACAACTGTTATTACACATACCTGTTTACTTGTCTCCTGCCTCTGGTGAATTGGGAATGGCTAGAGGGCAGGACTCTTACTGCTTCCCATACCAATACCTACCATGGTGACTGGCACACAGTGTGGACCAGACACATTTAATGAATAACTTCCAGAGAGAAAAAGGCAAAAATATTCTAAACAGAGGAAACAGCCAATATAGACTCCAGATGTTGAATCACCTAAGATGAACAGATTCACAGTGAAAAGCAACAAGAGATACCAGAAAGCTCTGGGGAGAGAAGACAAGAAATACAGGTGGTTTGGTGAGATAAATCCCAACCGCGTTTCAAGGAGACTCACCATAGGAGAAGGTGTCTGGCATGGGGACCCCGTGACCAGCCAGTTCTTGGAATGTCCAGAATTTGTTGATGCAGTTTAGGATACTCTGTGGGCGGTTGACCAGGCGGCAGCCCAGTTTCTCCAGGTGTCTCAGGACAGTGATGTCACTGTCTGACTGCACAGAGGGTGTGGGTACCCGCACGAGCACCACATCTGGGAAGGTGGTGAGGGCCTTCTGGTTCAACTGGAGGCCTGCAATCCAAGGACACAAGTCAGTGCTTTGCTGGCCACTGGGTAGTCCACTAGAAGAACTGGTTCCACATACTCCTCAAGACTGAATCTAGCAGGAACAAAGCCTCAGAAACAGCCAGCTGCACACCCTGGTATAATAGGAAACGTGACAGTCAACCCTGTACTTCAAACAAATGGGCAGACCATGATGATGAAGAAACACAAAGGTGTGGACAAAAAAAAAAAAAAAACCAAAGCAGTATATCTAGAATAACTCAAAATAACCCAACCCAAGTTAGAAGAATCCACAGGAGATGTATAGTCCAGCATTTTCCTTCCACACAGGACTAGGGCTGCTCAGAGTGTAGTGGCTTAGGAGGCTGAAGACAATGAAAAGAAAATAGTGTAGCTCACTTCAGGAATCTCTACCCCCTTCCATGACTATGGGCAGACCATGATGATGAAGAAACACAAAGGTGTGGGCAAAAAAAAAAAAAAAAAACCAAAGCAGTATATCTAGAATAACTCAAAATAACCCAACCCAAGTTAGAAGAATCCACAGGAGATGTATAGTCCAGCATTTTCCTTCCACACAGGACTAGGGCTGCTCAGAGTGTAGTGGCTTAGGAGGCTGAAGACAATGAAAAGAAAATAGTGTAGCTCACTTCAGGAATCTCTACCCCCTTCCATGACTTAACCTTAAAAAGTCTCTCTAACTGGAGCAATACACAACCATTTAAATTATTTTAATGAATATAACACATGCACAAATGTTAATATTAAGTGAAAAAATAGATACAAAATTATTAAGAATGCATTATGATGTCAACTCTATAAACAAACATAAGCTGGAAAACTCTAGAAAGGAAGAGACCAACATTAGTGGGTAATGGGATTATGGATCATTTCCTTTTATATTTTATACTTTCCTGTATTTTCCAAAATTTCTCTAAATACATATTACCTTTATAACAAAAAACTTGAAAAAAATCCATCCACTAAATATCGACTCAATTCAATATGAAACAAAACCAGAACACATGCAAAGACAACTGCTTTATAGAGTGAAAAGATCTAAAGCTACATTTTACTGAGTTAATTAGGAGTGTTAGCTTGAAGTGAAGACTCAAGAACACGAGCAGTCTTCAAGCCTGAAGTGCTTCTGTGCAGAATTACTTGGCTTCTCCTCCATGACCCCAAGAGACAGGCTACCCGAAGGAGTGTTATTGTGTCTGCTCAATACCGTAACCTCAGCCCTAAACACTGTCTGGTGCATGGGAGGTGAACTGAACAGAAGCTACAGGGAGACAGATTTGGGTCCAACAAAAGGGACACTTTTCCATTCCTTAGAATGCAATGGGCAGAGGCTCACTGGTCACTTCAGGATGATCCAGAGGGAATGTAAGAGTCAAAGGACTCACAGCAACTTGCGGAGTCCCTGTTGGCCCTGACGGCCTGTGGTTTGTACTATGCTAAGAAGTTGCCTAGGCATCTCTGTTACACCCAGCATCTGGGGATGGAAGGAGAGAGATGGGAAATGGGATGGGATTAGAAGTGAGTTCAAGGAAGTCCTTGGTCTGTCTTAACAAACATTAGAGGAGTCTTTTAAATACTCTGAAGATTTAAAAAATCTTTAAAACATTATCTATGAAAGCACCTTAAACGCTTTAACCTAAAACATCTTCTGGTTCCTAAATCATATAATACTGTACCATCACATAATTCCTAGAAAAAAGAGGAACTAATGAAGTTATAATTTCCTCAATCAGGGGATAGTGTCAATATAAGGTTCTAAGGTGAGAAAGAAGAAAAACAAAACAAACAATAACAAACTAACAATAAAAGCCACAAAACTACTATGTGGCTCTAACTTGCACACTTCCCCCTATTCTAGGAGATGTTTTACCACTTTTTAACAGAGGGAAGGGTAGTTGTGATCATGAGACATAGTTTTCAGGACTTCTGCTAACAGTGTGAAGCCAGGAAACTGGAATATAATTCTCAGGGATGATTTACAAAGAGCATCTGGGTCATCTTACTGTGCCATCAAAAAACAGTAACATTTATTTATGTTTCTACTGTTCTTTGAAAAAATTCCTTTGAGCCCCTGGGAAAAATCATGTGGGGAGGGTTTGTAATGACAAATAACCCTCTGTAATAACCTCAAGATTGCTAGAAGAAAGGATTCAGTTGGTAAAAACGGTGAGTAAATACAGACCACCCAGGACATTACAGTACGAGTTACTGTGTGTGAAAGTGCTCTGAGAACTTCAATGTGCCGCACATCCGAAAGGTACTGGCATGTCACCACACAGACATTCCACTAAGCAAGGTAGGACAATTCATGAAAACTTTACCACCTGATGAGAAAAATGACTTTGCAACAGAAAGTGACCTAGAGAAACGAGAAGCAGCAAAAACATCTAGCTATCAAATCCCAACGTAAGACCACAGACAAACAATTAAAACTTCCCAATGGGCAGAAAAGAACTCAGTCATTTCGGGAAATACCACAAGTGGACAAAGACAGCTCAGCCTCCACAAGCAGAGTCACATAAACCTAGAAGTCTTACCAGGACTTCATCTCTCTTCTCCAAAGGCAAATCTTTGGGCCTGGCTCATTCCAACTGAAGCCTTTAATAAATGAAGAATGGAATGTGTTAAAGGGTAGCGGAAAAGGCTCTACCAAGCAGTTAAGACAGGTCTGGTGTCTGTCTCTGTGCTGGTGCCCCGTCCTGTGCAGACAGGGACATGATGGGCTTATGGATACATCTGCAAGACTAATGGCATCTTTGCCCAGTAATGCAGTTCTGACTCTGCTATGGGCAACCTCACCTGCCCCTGCTCTTTCCCATGGCCTTCATCGTCATTCTTCTAGTAGGAGATGAGAGGTTGCGACTCCTAGTGGTGCCAGGGGGAGCTACATGGCAGTTCCACATAACCGTGGCCAGGCACAAACGGGTTTAAGGCTAGCCTTTGGCAAACTTGTCTGTCATTTCTGAGACTTTTAACTATTTGAGTTATCTCCACCCTCTACTTCCACTTACATCTTCCGTTAGGAAAGGATCTGATAAAGTTAATACATGTGGGGATCAGCAGTTGGCGTAATGGCTATGTCGCTGGACTCCTATGTAGTCAACCACAGTTTGAGTCCCGGACCCAGTGGCTTAAACTCACGCCAGGCACCTGTGCGTGCGCGCCCAAGATCCCAAGAGGAGAATGGAGGAGAAGGGATTGCACCTTGGCCATCTCCCCTGGGGGGGAGTGTGTGTGTGTGATTTCTTGCTTTCTGTCTCTCTGTCTCTGTCTTTCTGGCAAGTGCATCGCTAGACTCCTATGTAGCCAACCACAGTTTGAGTCCCGGACCCAGTGGCTTAAACTCACGCCAGGCACCTGTGCGTGCGCGCCCAAGATCCCAAGAGGAGAATGGAGGAGAAGGGATTGCACCTTGGCCATCTCCCCTGGGGGGGAGTGTGTGTGTGTGATTTCTTGCTTTCTGTCTCTCTGTCTCTGTCTTTCTGGCAAGTGCACACTCCCAATAGCAAAAACCTCTCCAAAACAAAACAAAAAAACCAAAAAGCTAATCCATGTGGAGCTGAATGTGTCACCTTTCCTGGGATCCTTAACACCTGTGCTGCAATCTACAGACTTCAAGTCAAAGGAATGAAGGAAACCTCACTTAAGGGTACAGGGCGTCAGGGAGGAGAGAGTTCTGCTCGGTATCAGCAAATAAAAAGAAAGGCCTCAGCAATGAAAGGCCTCTCCCTCCAATAAGAAGAAATTTCATCTGAGTATGTGCCCTCATTAGGCATTACTTAACCTGGAGCATGATCTTAATCTGGGGTGAGGGGGGAGCTAAATTACTTCTGAGCTACTTGGGGTCTCTCAGACTCCGGGATTGGGCTTGAGATTTACTATGTTTAGTCTCAAGTTACTTTTTAAAAAAACGAAGATGATCGCTCTGTCCCAAGGCAAGTCAATAAAATAGTAATGGAAGAAAGTTCAAACCGTAAACTAGTTAGTATGGTGACCTAAAGCCAACCTAGTCCAATTTTTAAAATCACAGGAATATTCTCTCCATGCTACTGTCCTTTAAAAAATTATTCTAAATTTAAAAATATTCTAAAAATAATATTCTACTTTCATGGATATAATAATCTACTTTCTTAACTGCGTTCTAATTTCTTTTTGAACTCTCTTTGTATTTAGAAATATTTTAATGTACTTAAAACCAAGAGAAAAACCAAAGATAACTTTTCCCAAAGACCTGGGCCTATTTTTTTTTCTAACTCATATATCAGGTTAGATTCTACAAAATTATACTTTTGTATTGGTAGATGCAATGCCAAAGTGATGCACTTTAGAACAAAGATATTTAGAAATAGCAAATCGTTATTGAAAGTAGAGTTCTAAAACTTGAAAATCATTCTCAATCATACCAACAGAGATAAGTAGACACAATGATAATAAAAGACACAATAATTCAGATTTGAATTCAAGCAGTTTTTTAAAAGTTTATATTTAATCACTGCACCACTTTACAGAATACAAAATGGGTTTTCCCAGCATGAATACAGTGCATATCAAGTAGTATTTTTATTGAGCATCTGTTGTGTTTTAAGTACTTTGTTGAGAACTTTCACATATATTATTTCATTTAAATTAAATGTGTCTTATACAAATCCATAGAATAGACCTGACTGTAAATGTCTTTGCATTTACCCAAAACTGAAGTATAATGGGTTACCCCACCCTCTCAACCTGTGTGCACACAAGTACCCCTGGTTTTGCAAAACAAAACTTGAACACTAAACTGCTAGGGAAAAGAAGCCTCCACATACTACACAAATCACAGAAAGAAGAAAACAGCAGGACACGGCAGCCAGAGAGAGAAAAAAATCTTCCCTTATGGGGCTGTCAGGTGGCGTGGTGATTAAGAGCTCTAGACTCTCACATGGCTGACTGTGGTTCGAATCCTGGACCTGGAAGCTTGCTTTCTCGCTTTCCCTCTCTTCCTCTCA